AAAAAAAAAAAAAAGACCAGTCTCAGTGGCTCACTCTGTAATCCCAGCACTTTGGGAGGCCGAGGTGAGTGGATTGCCAGAGCCTGCGAGTTCAAGACCAGCCTGGGCAAACTGGTGAGACCTAGGCTCTACAATAATAAAAAAAAAAATTAGTTGGGTGTAGTAGCGAGCTCTTGTAGTTCTAGTTACTTGGAAGGCTGAGGCGGAAGGATCGCCAGAGCTCAGTAGGTCGACTCTGGCGTGGCTGTGATCGTGCCACTGCACTCCAGCCTGGGAGACAGAGTGAGACTCCGACTCAAAAAAAAAGCGAGACTTGGCTAGGTACAGTGGTTCACACGGGTCATCTCAGCAGTTTGGGAGGCTGAGGCAGGAGGATCCCTTGAGCCCAGGAGTTTGAGACCAGCCTGGGCAACATAGCGAGACCTCGTCTCTACAGAACATCAGCCGGGCATGGTGGCATGTATCTGTTGTCCCATCTGGAGACCGAGGCGGAAGGATCGTCTGAACCCAGGAGTTCGAAGGTACAGTGAGCTGTGATCATGACACTGCACTCCAGCCTGGACCTCAGAGCGAGACCTTGTCTCAAAAATAAAAAATAAAAAAAAGTAAATGAGACCCAGACATATCAAAGTAGATTTCAGAGTAAAGAGTGTTACCTGGGACACATGAAGTCATTTTATGACCATAAAGGGGTAAAATAAGTCAAAATGACATAACAACCCGAAGTGTTTATGCACCTAACATCAGAGCTTCATACATGAACAGGCCAGGCTCGGTGGCTCAGCCTGTCATCCCGCGCTTTGGGACGCCGAGGCGAGTGGATTGCCTGAGCCCGCGGGTTCGAGGCCCGCCTGGACAACCTGGTGAGACCTCATCTCCACAGTCAATCAAAACATTAGCCAGACGTGGTGGCGCATGTCTGTGGTTCCAGCTACTTGGAAGGCTAAGGCGGAAGGATCGCCAGAGGCCAGCAGATCGAGGCTGCGGTGGCCGGAGTGGCCACTGCCCTCCAGCCTGGGTGACAGAGTGAGACTCCAACTCAAAAAAAGAAAAATACACGAACAAAAATGGATAGAACTACCAGGAGAAAAATATATAACCTCACATTTATAGTTAGAAATGATGTCGATACCCTTGTATTACTCAGGGTTCCAGAGAAACAAAACCAGTATGATGTGTGCACGTGTAGAGACAGACCCTGATTTTCAGGAACTTACACGGCGGTGAGTGCTAGGAAGTCTGAAATATGCAGGGCCGGCTGGCAGACAGAAGACCCAGGAAAAGCTGAAGGTGTGGCTCTGTGTGGACATTCTGGAGGAAGTCCCTTCCTCCTCGGAGGACTCTTGGAGTTTTCAGACATCAACTGATTAGATGAGGCCCACCCACATTATAGAGGGTCACCTGCTTTACTCTGATTTAAATGTTCATCATGGCTGGGTATGAGCTCACGCCTGTCATCCTAACCCTCTGTGAGGCCAGGTGGGGGGATTTCTTTCTCTTTTTTTTTGAGTGGGAGTCTCACTCCGTCGCACAGGCTGGAATGCCGTGGCATGCTCATGGCCACCCCAGCCTCAACCTGCTGGGCTCAGGCGATCCTTCTGCCTCAGTCTTCCAAGTAGCCAGAACTACAGGTGCGTGCTACTATGCCCGGCTAACTTTTTTGATTTAGTGTAGAGATGAGGTCTCGCCAAGTTGCCCAGGCCATTCTTGAACCCGTGGGCTCAGGCAATCTACTCACCTTGGCTTCCCAAAGTGCTGGGATGACAGGTGTGAGCCACCTCACATGACTATTATCGTTTATTTATTTTTTTAGTTGGAGTCACTTCTTCGCCCAAGCTGGGGTGCAGTGGCACACTCGCTCCCGGCCACGCCAGCGTCAACCTTCTGGGCTCCAGTGATCCTTCCGCCTCAGCCTTCCAAGTAGCTGGAACTACAGACGCACACTACCATGCCCGGTTATTTTTTATTTTATTGTAGAGACGTCTTGCCAAGTTGCCCAGGCTGGTTTCGAACCCAAGGGCTCAGGCAAGCCACTCGCCTCGGCCTCCCAAAGTGCTGGGATGACAGGTGTGAGCCACCTTGCCTGGCTATTATCATGTCTATGGCCCTGTCCTTGTCTTGCATCTGATGGACATTTGCTGAAGGGGTGGGGTAGGCTGCCAGCTTGGCCTGCAGTAGAATGTCTGCACACTTCCTAAAACCTGCCTGTTGGAAATGTATCTATCTAAGTCAAACCTGTGCTAGTTTCAAAGCGTGTCAGGGGTAAAGTCTAAGCAAAAATGGCTATGCTGAGGCAAAAAGGCTACACTCAACCAAGTTTGTTCTAGGTTTTTTCTTTTTCTTTTTTTTTTTTTGAGTTGGAGTCTCACTC